GGGAGACGATAGATAAATCTTAGCGAATTCTGTCAGGCTTGGATACTGTTTTGCGTTTGCTGACCACCACTTGTAAAGGTCTGCCGTCCGATCTAGGCGAACAGTTTTCATATAAAGTGATACAGTGATATTTTTTATGTAATAATTAGTAACGCAATTTGATGTAACAATGAACAAATAATGCATGTTGTGACATGATCTACTCGCAAATAAAACAAATGTGCCCGCAGTGTCGCTACCGCACCCACCGCAATGTATCAGGTCGTAACATATCACCCGCGAAATGTACACATATTTTGCCGAACATTCGGCCGCCGAATATTCGGCGCTTCGGCCAAGAGCGTAGCCGAATGTTCGGTATTCGGTATTCGGCAAAATCACTATTCGTGGCATCACTAGTATAAACTGTATAAAATTTAATGAAATAAAACGGATGTCCACTAATGCTCAATCCCCCCCTTTGTCCGACTTGTCATAACGCTCTCCTTCCTTTCCAATGTGGACGTCATGTATGGAAAGCCCTAAGGGAATGGTTGATCTTTTAGGTCCGAATTATCTGAAACTCTGTGATTGGTAGATGTTTAGCACGGAAATTTCTCACTTCGTGAATGGCTGGTAAGCGCGAGCGTGTCTATAAAAGGCATCACACGTAAAATTTCGTTTACAGTATTGCTGTACTGAAACTTTAATTTGACTGAAACTTTAATTTGACGAGAATGTCAACAGTGCGCTGCTCGGGATGCCAGTACAATTATTTCGAGGCAACGGCATTCTCGGAAGAGAGAGTAAAAGAGGAATTGCTACACCACGGCATTTGGCGAAACTAAACGAACTGCGGACGGTGTGGCAACCTACTAAGAGCAGAAGGAGGACGAGAATTATTCCGTTGCGGAAAAGTAATCCGGAAGGGTAAGAAACGTGCGGCACCTTGCGGGTGGAGCAAGTCCATTTGGGCGGGTACTTTTTTTCAGCCATTCGCATATTTCTCTCGTTACCCTCTGGAGATTTATTTTCTCCTTATTGGTATGGAAGCCTCCGAGACAAGCCACACTACATCGATTTCTCGGCCTTTCGAACAGAACCATCGTGGACTGGTACTCTTTTTACAGAGAAGTATGCGTCCACGATGTGTCCTCCCAAACCGAGAAACTCGGAGGGGAAGGCCGGGTTGTCGAGGTAGATGAGGCAAAAATCGGACGGCGGAAGTACAATAAGGGGAGAATAATCGAAGGTCAATGGATCTTCGGGGGTATCGAGAGAGAGTCTCGAAAAAGGTTCTTGGTACCGGTGGAAACACGCGATAGTCAAACGCTACTTTCGGTCCTGAAGGAGTGGGTGCTTCCGGGGACAACGGTTATTAGTGATTGCTGGAAGGCGTATGATTGCCTTCAAACTGAAGGCTTTCATCACCTGACAGTTAATCACAAGTATAACTTTGTTGATCCCCAGACGGGCTCCCACACCAACACGATCGAGAGGATGTGGCGGGAGGTGCGCGCAAACGTTCCCCGGTACGGTGTTCGAAAGGAACACATGGTCGGATATTTGGCTGAATATCTTTTTAAAGCCAAATATCCGGACATGGGTTCTCGACTGCACCACTTTCAAGTTGCCGCTGCGAATCTTTACCCTCCGGGTTACTAGTTTCGGAAAAGTTGTATATTAGCTGCATACGCAAAAGGCCCTTTTAAGGTAAGTGTCTTTATAATATAAGCTGTTGTAATATTTTAATCTTAACTTGCAATTTTAAAAAATTAAAAGTTATTTGTCTTTTTTCAGTAACATATCACACAAGGAACAGTTATTGATACACGATAAAAGCTTTATTGATGGAGGAAATGCATTTCGGGTCTTAATTGTGTTTTTAAAGAGAAGAACCACGTGATGTGAAACATGACTTCGTTACTGATCACTGACGCTTCCAAAGTATAGCAGAAAGAATTAATCCTTCTATTTTCTATTCGCTGTAGATATTGTGAAAAATTTTTTAATCATTGTTTTATTGTGAAAGCGCCAGATCATAAAATAAAAGGTCGGCGTCTTGATCATTTTGAACTTTGTGTTACTTTTTTAATAATCTATATATAATGTTTTAAGAAGATTTTTTTATATCTTCAAACTAATTTGCTGTTACTTCTGAGTTGGTCTGTAAAAAGGATAAAAAGAAATAGACTCAAAAAATTATATATTTTTATGTATACTGATTTAGTTTCAAATATAATAAATGTTTTTTCGTTTCTTAATTTTAGTTACATTCCTTTCTCAAACATTTAAACGTTAACAATAATATTAAAAGTTTAATAACACTTTTCTATAAAATCTCTTTTTAAGAAAGTAATTTTCTAGAAAAGTTTTAAGGCTGCTACACCCACGTTTGAGTAAATTATAAGATTTTACTGCTTTTTAAGGACTTTGAACGTGTTAAGCGACAATCAGTTTTTCATTCCAAGTTTATTCGACTCCAAATAACAGGAAGAAACTTCCAAGTTTAACGATTTGTTTTTAAGCTCGCGTTTCTAAAAAATGAATAACCAAATCTTTTTAGATATCAAACTTTTACTAAGCGAACGTTTTCGTTACATTTAAGCATTAAGAATCCAGCCAAATATCTAGAAAGATTGTTAGATAACGGTTAATTTTTTAACATTGTACAAGAATTATACACGTTCTTTTTCTACATCCCCTTAAGAGATGGGATATACAAAATCGTAATATCACTGATTTAACATTGAAATCCGGGAGTAATATAAAATCGGAGAGCGGAATAAATATATCAAATATTTTAACGGATTTTTTAAAACTCCTGCCAACTATACAGAAAACTATCATAAAAACATACAGGTAAATTCTTATCGGTTGGATTAAGTTATAAATCTACTCGTGATTCACGTAATCGGGCGAGGGCGGCCAAATATCTAGCAGGCGGGCGGTGAGGTTGGTGCTCTGTAAAGCGCATGCGCGAATCTGACTTTTTGGATGTTGACAATACAGCGTTTCCACTCCACCACTAATATTCGAATATATAATAGCAATCTTATCTTTTGTAATAAGATACATAATGCGGTTATAATAAAATATTAATTTTATGAAAATAATCACACAATATGTATTTATTTTTTAGAAAATACAAGGGAACGGCGCATCCACCGCTTCTAATGACGGCACGCCACTGTGTGAGCAGCCTCGCTCAGACTACACGCTGATACTGCGTTAATAACTAATATAGTTTGATTTGAGAAGCCTCGTCTTTTTATATTTTGATTTAATTCATATCACAATTAGAATGTGTGTCCAGGAACAGCTATCAGTGGATGATGTTGCTATCCATTCAGCCACTGATAAATTAATTTGACTCTATTTACATACATTATAATTTTGAATCATTTAAAGTTGGAAATTACTACATTGAATAAGTTAAAAATCTACCCATAAATTATTAGTCTATTAATAAGTTTAAGTACAATATACAAGCCGTAATATAAAAAACAAAAAAACACAAACTTTCAATGAACACTTTTATTTGCCATAAACGCTTTCAGTCTCAGATTAATTCTACAAAAATACTATCTCCGAACAGAACTGGCAAGGATGAACAAAAACAATCATCGTCACCTAAAACGCAAACAGGAGAAATTCACTTAAAAATAAAGGCTGTAGTATCTTATAACTGGGATAATCTATTTCATATTTCTATTCAGCTTATCAAAAGCACTAATCCTAGCATTTTGTAGTAATTTTATCATAGAGCTAATTTCATTATATTTTTGGAGAATTACTGATATAGTTGCTAAATTACATAGCAATTCTAAAATACTTTTTGCATTAGCTTGTAATTTGTTTTACCTTTTCTTTTATTGCTTCTATTACTTTCTACATTGTTATTAAGATACAACTCAATTTTTTTTTATTAGCAACTGCATTACTTATATATCATCTAAGAATGTTTTAAATCTAATCCAAAATCATTGATAAATTTCCCTTCTTCGTCTTTAAAATACCTCTAAAACACTAAAAATGTGCCGAAATAATGGATCATTATTTCGGAATCTTGACTTCTGGACATTGGTGTTGTTACGAACAGTCTGTTTTTAGGGTGGACAAAATACTCTGTGGTAAACGGTATAATATTCCGTAAACCCATACACTTCACCATCTGTAATAATTATAGACACATGTACTTATTTTAAAATTGATAAAAGCACGTAATTAGAGAAATCAATGATACAATAAATAGCGCGCGTAGTTTTAACAAATACCTTTCCTTTCTTTTTTCCATGTTGCAAACGATCTCGTTGATGCACACCAAATTTGAAACTATAGTGATTTAGTTAAAGTTAAAAGTCTGTCTATCCAAAAAACTCTTGTGAACAACCCTTTAATGGAGACGGATTTAAAACTTCGTTTCTTCTCTTCGTTGATTCCAGTGTTGCCAGATCTGAAGGTTAAAAAGTAGCGTGGTNCAATTGACTGATTGCCCCTGGATGTCGGCTTACAGAAACATAGCTTCCCTATCATCAAATGTCACGGCACGCCCCTGCTGTACAGTATATAAATTAGGTACTGTAAGTCTAATACAGTACTGTAATTTTATACATTTCTTGTGAATAAAACATTTCTTATTCAACGGCCATAAAAATTATTTCTATTAATGATGTCTCCAAAGTTCAGCGAATTTTTCGCAGAAAAATAACTTGTCAGAAAACGCGCCCGCCGTTCGATGTGCCGCTTCGCGACGAAAACAAGCTTAAGCAATGGCACACTCGGTAAGTAATCTTACAATTTTTTTGTTTATAGCATAGTTTATACGGATTTTTCCCAAAAAATTATACGTATTTTGGAAATGTTGAATGGAATTAGTCTAGAATCGATTAATTTTATGGAAAAAAAACCTTTCAAACAGCCGTAGTCCGTAAACGGTACAGATGCCCGGCTATGATTTGCTCATGTATTTAAGGGCTCGTAGAACATGAATTTCGTAAAAAGCGGAATGTATCTACCGCGTTATAGGGGGGTCGACTGTATTTTTAGAATGAAATAATGTAAAAAGCATAAACTTCTTTCTCTTGATTTTTAGAAGCATGTGCTTTGGGGCACGAGTGGGGCACAATGGTTTCCCGTAAAGGAAAAATAAAAGGAAAAGGTAAAGGAAAAGAAAAAAATCAAAGTCCAGTAAAAAAGAACAAGGGGACGATTACTCGGAAGATGATACGACTTGCCTTTACTGCACTGAGTCTTACTCACAGTCGATTGAGAGTTGGTGTTCATGTGTCACATGCAAAAAATGGGCTCATGTCTTGTGCGGGTTTTGACAGTGACGATGACGATTCCGCGCTGATTTGCTAGTTTTGTAAGCAACAAGACTAATATTTTTTTTTTCTAATAATTGAGCACTAATCTTATACCCCGTTCTGCCCTGAGTGCGGGGCGGAACGGGATGTAGACAATTTTTTTTTAATGATTTATTTTTCATACAAAATTATTAATTTTTTAAATCCCTGGATGTCGGCTTCTTATAGAAACACAGCTTCCCTATCATCAAATGTCACGGCACGCCCCTGCAAATGACAGACGATCTATTAAGTTTACATTCCTACAGCTATGACGAGAAACGTTTAAAATTTATAACCTTGTCACGTCCTTTGAGTGATGCGTCAAAAGAGGCATTTTAAATTTTACTGTTTTTTTAGGACTTTGAACGTGTTAAGCGACAATCAGTTTTTCATTCCGAGTTTATTCGACTCCAAATAACAGGAAGAAATTTCTAAGTTTAACGATTTGTTTTTAAGCTCGCGTTTCTAAAATATGAATAACCAAACCTTTTTAGATATCAAACTTTTACTAAGCGAACGTTTTCGTTACATTTAAGCATTAATAATCCAGCCAAATATCTAGAAACGTTATGTTATCCGTTCTTTAAGTACATCCCGGTTGGCAATTTTCTGTCCACTACGTAACTTCCGATTTCATTCATTTTTGTAAACCATTTGGGGTTAAAAGGTACAGGTATTTTCGCGTTTAATTGAAAAGTCTGATAAGAAATAAAATTTGTGCGATTCATAAAAGAAATTTAAAACAAAGTCGCTCGCTGTCTGGCTTAATAACGCCCTTTGCCTGAGACTGATCGAACTTCGTGACACGGTGCTACTCAAACTGTGGTCTGCGGACCAGAGATGATCCGTCTTATCTATGTGAAATTAAATGAAAAAAAAAAACAAAAACTGGATGAAGGAACACTGCTCTAACTCGTGTTGCATCTATTGTTTTTCTTCTATTGTTTTTCTAACTTCGTGTTGCATCTATGTTATATGTTTTTATCAAAGCAAGAAATAAAAACATGCAACTAGTAACGCGATATATAATAATATAACGCGATATATAATAACGCGACATAAAGGAGTACATAAAGACTTCAAACTAGACGTTTGAAGTCTTTATGTAGTAGCCAATCGATCCCACATCTTATCTATAAATTATTGTTACATAACTTTACATTTTTAAACTTAAAGGATTAGTTAGACTATATAAAACATATATGTTTATAAATTTTGATAATAAATTTATAAACATTTAATCTGAATTTTAAAGTAATTTGATTCTGTTTCTCTTTTTAAGAAGTTAATCTCGAAAAATAAATCGTCGTTGTCAAATCTTAACTCGTGAATTTCGTTATAGAATGTTACGGTGTTACGGAAGCGTAACTCGAGCAAAGTTCGTTTTACCCCCAAGAAGTAGTCACGTGTTAGCAATAAAGGATAATTCTGCTAATTTCGAACTCGTTTCTACATTCTGGCGGGAAGCGCGCTGTCGGACGCAACAACGGGTATTTGTAATAGTAGTTTTAACGTGGGCTCGGATAGTTCCGTTTTAGTGTCCATTATGTAGTTTTATGAATGANAATCGATCCCACATCTTATCTATAAATTATTGTTACATAACTTTACATTTTTAAACTTAAAGGATTAGTTAGACTATATAAAACATATATGTTTATAAATTTTGATAATAAATTTATAAACATTTAATCTGAATTTTAAAGTAATTTGATTCTGTTTCTCTTTTTAACAAGTTAATCTCGAAAAATAAATCGTCGTTGTCAAATCTTAACTCGTGAATTTCGTTATAGAATGTTACGGTGTTACGGAAGCGTAACTCGAGCAAAGTTCGTTTTACCCCCAAGAAGTAGTCACGTGTTAGCAATAAAGGATAATTCTGCTAATTTCGAACTCGTTTCTACATTCTGGCGGGAAGCGCGCTGTCGGACGCAACAACGGGTATTTGTAATAGTAGTTTTAACGTGGGCTCGGATAGTTCCGTTTTAGTGTCCATTATGTAGTTTTATGAATGAAAAATTACAAGTTGTGAAAGCGCACGTCAATATATTATATTATATTATATTATATATATATACATATATATATATACCCGGTGTAATTGGTAAGTGTTGTCTCAAGTTTTTTTCGTAACTACTAAAATGCTATTGGAAGGCTTTTTTAATATTTTGTCTCTAAAAACGCATATTTTAAAATTATAGATCCCGCCATCACGATACTGTCGATATTACGGACGTCGCCATCTTTTTTTCCTCTTTGTCCGTTGTTCGCAATGTCTACGAACGATCGCTATTAACGAACGCACTGTAGTCTATCACGTGACTCAAGGTATAGTCCGAATTGCGTCAGAGCTGTAGTCACGTGACCACCTCGCTCTGTCGTCACCACTCACGTGACCGGATGACGTTTAACCGAGGTCACGTGACAGAATTGTAAGCGTCCTCTATCCAACGTGCTACTCCGCGATGTGAACAAGGTTAAGCAATGGCGGCCTCCACCGTGCACAGTCGTAAGTAATCCGATGAGTTTTCGCTTATAGCTCTTAATTAATTAATATACGCGTCTCCCCCAAATAATTCTATGTGTTTAGGACACGTCTACTAGAGAGGTGTCTAAAGACAGCAAAATTAGAAAAAAACGGCCCATGCAGTAAGGATAAACTTTTACCGTCTATTGATATACCTGGTCACTGAAGATTGTGGAACCGTTTGAAGGAGAACAGCGAGAATCCGAACATATTCTGTATATATAATTCAAATTCAGCGCGAAATTAAACTCGTTTAATTGGTAAAACGTGTATGTGTTTACCTGTCCGCGTTGAACATTTCACACCAGTACATCCACCACATATTTTATTTCACCAAGTAAGTTTTTATTATTTTATTTTTAATTGTAGCCCTTATATCGTGGCTAGCAATTCGGAATGTAATTGTGATATTAAAAATGCATTTAGAGAAGTCTACGGTTTTTACTGGCTTATCGAATAAACGATACGAATGGACCCTAGACCATCACTGACGCACAATTGACTGATTGCCCCTGGATGTCGGCTTACAGAAACATAGCTTCCCTATCATCAAATGTCACGGCACGCCCCTGCTGTACAGTATATAAATTAGGTACTGTAAGTCTAATACAGTACTGTAATTTTATACATTTCTTGTGAATAAAACATTTCTTATTCAACGGCCATAAAAATTATTTCTATTAATGATGTCTCCAAAGTTCAGCGAATTTTTCGCAGAAAAATAACTTGTCAGAAAACGCGCCCGCCGTTCGATGTGCCGCTTCGCGACGAAAACAAGCTTAAGCAATGGCACACTCGGTAAGTAATCTTACAATTTTTTTGTTTATAGCATAGTTTATACGGATTTTTCCCAAAAAATTATACGTATTTTGGAAATGTTGAATGGAATTAGTCTAGAATCGATTAATTTTATGGAAAAAAAACCTTTCAAACAGCCGTAGTCCGTAAACGGTACAGATGCCCGGCTATGATTTGCTCATGTATTTAAGGGCTCGTAGAACATGAATTTCGTAAAAAGCGGAATGTATCTACCGCGTTATAGGGGGGTCGACTGTATTTTTAGAATGAAATAATGTAAAAAGCATAAACTTCTTTCTCTTGATTTTTAGAAGCATGTGCTTTGGGGCACGAGTGGGGCACAATGGTTTCCCGTAAAGGAAAAATAAAAGGAAAAGGTAAAGGAAAAGAAAAAAATCAAAGTCCAGTAAAAAAGAACAAGGGGACGATTACTCGGAAGATGATACGACTTGCCTTTACTGCACTGAGTCTTACTCACAGTCGATTGAGAGTTGGTGTTCATGTGTCACATGCAAAAAATGGGCTCATGTCTTGTGCGGGTTTTGACAGTGACGATGACGATTCCGCGCTGATTTGCTAGTTTTGTAAGCAACAAGACTAATATTTTTTTTTCTAATAATTGAGCACTAATCTTATACCCCGTTCTGCCCTGAGTGCGGGGCGGAACGGGATGTAGACAATTTTTTTTTAATGATTTATTTTTCATACAAAATTATTAATTTTTTAAATTTAATTTAAATAATTATGTACCATATACAAA